CTCAAGGACAAGCTTCTGGGAAAGGCATGGAGACTCAAGCTCCGAGCCCCACCCCACCATTCACTCTCCTTTTCCTGTGCTCTGGTCAAATCCAAACCTCTCAGAACTGCCCAAATGTATCCTGTCCACTCTAGTCTCTGCTGCTTCTTGTTCTCTCTCCATCTTTGTCAAAATCCTCCCATTTAAAATCCTTCTTTCTCCACAATGGGCTTCTTGGGCCCTCCAGCCATACGGGAAGCTCCTCCCTGGATGCTCCCAGCCCTCTGCTTGCCTCTCGCCTGGGACCCATCCTCGTTGCAGTCGCCTGCACTGCAACACCGTGTGCCTACCTGCTCAGCCCTCTCTACCTGTCTCCTCCCTACACTGGACTGTCGGCTCCTTGAGCACAAGCCTGGGTCTCCATGGTCCCCATCAAGCCAGGCAGAGCCCAGGTACAAGGTGGGTGACTGCTCCCCTCCCCCTTCCCCCAACAACCCTCCATCTTTCCAGCTGGAGGGTGAGGCCGGGGGTTGCAGAGCGTACACAGCCAGCTCATCCATCTTCCTCCTCCCAGCTCACTCAAAGGGCTAACTGCGTGACCTTTTGCATCTGTGGATTCTTCTCTCTCCCTTCCTTTTTTTTTTTTTTTAAACACAGGGCCTTGGAGCTTGCTTGGAGGCCTGGCCAGGCTGGGAAGAAGTTGGCTGCTCAGTTATATTTAGGCTAGCAGAGACATCAATCTAAGGCTCTTAAAAATAAAGTCCTGTTTCAGCTGGATCCCCACGCACATCCACGCCCACTCCTAACAAGCTCATTCGCCTCCTCCGGGTCCCCAGTCTCAATTACAGACCCCTCACGTGGCCCACACATGTGTGAACGCGTGTTTGGATGTCAGCAAACGGTTGCCCTTCCTGGCCAGTTCAAACATGGATTTCTCTCCTCTTCCAGGCCATCCTTCACTGGGGCTTTTCATTCCTTTCTGTTCTGGGGACCTTGCCACCTTCTTCAATGCCTCTTCCCTCCCAGAGAAGCCAGAAGCAAACCTTGTGCATGGGGGGATACCGTCTCTTCCAGAGTGTCTGGGTTCTGCCGTTCCCTTTCCGCATGAGGCTGCCTTCAGGGAAGAAGCAAACAGAAGACAAAGACCAAAGATTGAAGCAGAAAGTGGGCTTTGCAGTGGTGCTAGAATGCATGATGGGGGCCTTTGAATGAAAGGTCCTCGCGGGCAACCTAGTGGGTCCCGGTGTACCTGTGGGTGTGTGTGCAGGTGTGTGCATGTGTCTGTGCCCGTGCGCGTGTGTGGCACACTGCGGGTGTGTGAGAACGCCGGGGCCAACACTTCCTGCTCCTTGACTTGGCTACCGCGGCCCTGGTTCTTTTCCATCCCCACTGATGAAACACTTCTTTATGTCTTATTCACATCCTGTCTTGACTACCACAATTGTCTCCTTGCCGGGCCCACATGTCTCTCATCACCAATGGGATCCAAATGTTGCTGACAAAATAATCTCTCTGCCTTTGTGCTGCAATCACATTCCTCCACTTTCTCAAATTCTTCTGTCTCCCATTACTCGGGGAGTCACACACACAGACCACCATCTCTCTCTGCATCTTCACCCCCCTCCCCACCCCTATCCCACCCCGCTCTGCCTTTCCCAAGGCCTTGGTCTCCTTCTCTTGCTCTTCCTGAGACCACAGCTTTTCGGGGCCCCACTCAGTATTCCCGCCACAACCTCCCGGAACAATTTATTCAGTCAGCAAATGTTTACTAAGAGTGACATGCACTCTCCTAGGCACTGGAGTAGGGCAAGAAACCAAACTGAGGATCAACAGTCAACAAGGAAAAATATAATAGCATGTTGAGAATGGTAGGGACTGTGAAAAAAAAACGAAGCAGAGAGAGTGGGAGGGGAGAAACTCTTACACAGCGGTTCGGGTTCGGGAACTGCTCCCCACCTTTTCTCCCCTTGATGCTCACAGTTGGCATGTTTAACATCCCCTCTGCTTTGCCAGCGGCCTCCCCTCCCATCCTTCTCTTTGTATCATGTTTATGTTGATTTTAAGAGCAGGGGAGGTACTAGGCATAACTCAGCTGCGGCAGGAGACCTGCCGCATTATTAACTCATTAGAGACTCACTGTAGGAGGAAGGAACCACTCACATACACCACACACAAATCACAAAACACGGACCCGGTCCTCCTCCGCTTCACTGTCCAGAACATAACTGGTCATTTAAATATGGTGTCTGAGCGACTAGTGGCAAATCTGCCCATGTGTCCTGTCAACGTCCGAATTGTGTCAAAACTCCTCCTTCCGGGAATCTGTTGGCATTGGTGACCCCAGTCTGGCTCTGTCTACTTCAGTCAGGCCTCCCCCTGTTCTGACAAAGCACAGCGGAGCCTACTGCATGGATGCTTGATGTCAATCAGCACTGTCTTCACTTTGAAACAGCTCAGAGGACAAGTACTCAGGGATAGAGGCCCCAGTGAAGAAGTCTACTGGTAGATGAAATGACTAACAGTAAATTAGCAGCAGTAGAAAGTGCTACCATTTAAAAAATTTGTGACGTATGTGTATGTTTACCTTCCTGGGTCAGGGGAGAGGGGTGGCCAGGATGTGTAGAAAGATGGAGCCTGGATCTTGGTTTGACTGGGAACAAATTTGTGGATGGCACATCTTCTCCCAGAGCCTCTCGCTGGCAGCCAGCTCAAGGGTGATGGTTGTGCCCCCCATTACAGTCTGTTCTCGCCCCTGCTGTCTTAGTGTAGTCTCTCTAGATCCTCCCTGTCCAACGCAACAGCCACTAGCCACAGGGGCTACGGACCGCCTGGAATGTGGCTAGTCTGAATCGACATATACTGTAAGCATAAAATGCACACCAGATTTTGAAGACTAAGTACAAAAAAGCGAATGTGAAATACCTCACGAATCATTTTTATACTGACTACACATTGAAATGATATTTTAGGGCTCAATAAAATGCATTTTATATTAATTATAATAAATAAATAGTATATGAGTAATCATAATTATAAATGAAATGTAGTCTTAAAGCTAATTTCACCTGCTCATTTTCACCTTTTTCATGTAGCAATTAGAAAACGTAAAATAGCATATGGGCTCGTGTTTGTGGCTTGCATTACGTCTACTAAAAAACCCTGGTCTACTATCAGATCTCTCTGGTTTTTAAGCATCACTTAAGGCAGTTACGTGTCGTCCACTGGGAATGGTATGCAGAACTCCACTATACAAAGCAGGTAAAAATGGAACTCCCCAGGTGGAAGATGGGGGAGATGGGGGTATATGGAGGAGGACTACGAGTGTGGGGGGAGTCCTATCCATTATCACAGCTGGTCTAGCTCATTTATTATTGGATTGGATTGTCCATTCATTTGCAATTGTGGGGGAAATGCTCGGAGGAGGCTCCCATTCAATCACCCTAAGTGGAATCTGATCTTTATCTTGGGATAAACATTCCGAATGGAAGGTGAGTGCTGGGAGATAAGGAAGATAAAGAAACCATATGGCCCTGTCAGGAGGCTCCCAGGGCTTTATTCTTGGAAGGATTAATGAATCCAAAGGGGGATCATCTCGGTTCTGTTTCGAGGAGGTGGAAACTCCAAAGCCCCCAATAGGGGTGGGAACTAACTGACCCCAGGCAGGGAGGACTAGCACTCAGAACCCTCTCTTGCCTTCTCTGGATTTCCCCCTTCCCCAACTCTTGTCCACCCCACCCCCTCAACTCCCAACCTGCTTTACAAAAAGCCCTGCAGGAAATGGATTCCAATCTCTAAACTGCACTGGCACCCCAGGCCTGTGGAGTCTGGAGCTTGGGATCTGGCTGTCCACACCCTCTTGATCTGGCAAAATTTCCAGAGGTTCCACCTTTGTGCATCCCACCCCCTCCCCCCAGCACTGGCCATTGGTGGCCGCCAAGGTGGGTACATGGGTGACACGTGCTTTCCTGGCAAGGGTGGGGGTTTTGGTGGGCCTGCTGGAACCCCTGGCCACGTGCAGGGCTGAGAATGGTCAGTGGTGGGGGAGGGCAGGTAATATGAGCCCCGAGAAAGCGATCTGGGGCTGAGGGGCGGGGGAGGTGGAGGCGACGGGCTTTCCAGCACGTTCTCGCCTCCCCTATGTCACAAGGCACCTCATCCCTCATTCCTCTGGCACTGCTGGTCTCACACAGCTGTTTTCTGACCCCCAACTGGAGGTTGTCAAAGGCATTCGATTTAGGTACAAACGGCCCAGTGCCTGAAGCAGGGGGCGTGACTTCAGGATGGCATGATAGTGGTTATAGATACGAATAAGAATAATGCAAAGAGTCACCAGCGTTTACAGAGGGCCCATTTTGTGCCTCTGCTGACCTCGATTGTCTCCTCAAAGCCACGAGAGCTCTATGAGGGAGGTGTCATTTTACCAAGGAGGAAACTGAAGCTCAGAGAGGCTAAGTCACTTACCCAAGATTGCACAGCTAGTAAGAGTTAGAGCCAGGAGTCAAACCCACGAGGCTGAATTTTGGAGCCCAAATTCTTGATGCAGACAGGACCCAACACACAACTGTTCTTATCACACCACCATGGTCAGTGACAGGCAATCAGAAGATACTCTCCCATCCACATCGTGAACTGCCCAAGGCAAAAGGCAGTTGTGCCAGTCTGCCAACCACGTAAGCCAGGGCTGTGGTCTCACACCTTGACTGGTGGTACAGCCCGAGCCCACTGTTGTCCAAACAGCCCTGGCTGAGAAGAGGCCGCCCCCCTCCCCAAGCAGTTTTGTATCTTAGGTGGGAACAACTGTGCAGGGAGAGGAGACCCACAGAGCTCCAGCCACAGGCTTCCCTGCCTTAGCCTGGTCCTGGCTGATGGCCTTGGTTTGGGGCTTTTCTGTGCTCTGAGCACATCTAAACATTTGGAGAAAAACAAGAAAGTGAACAATAGACGCTTGTGGGCTAGAGGACAGGGCCGACTTCCCCCTGGGACCCAGCACTGTTCATAAACTGTCCCAGCTGCACTCTCACGGTTGGGATGTCACTGGAGCGGGGCTGAATCACAGCCTTGTCCTCGCTGGGGGCCTGCGACTGGCTCCTTTTATAGATCGTTAAGAGGATGCAAATGTCGGTGGGGGGAGCCAGGCGCTCAGGGGGAGGCATGTTTTCCTGCCTGAATTTGGGAAATCACACAGAAAAGATGCATCCGAGCCTTGGCATTGTAGCTCTGCCAAGTCGCCCCCCCTGACTGATGTGTCCTGATCAGAGCTGTTTGCCCCACAGGAAAAGAATCAGCTTTCTATCAAGTGGACTCTGGGCACCGCCCCAGAGAGCTCAAACTCCAAGGATCTAAAGAGTAAGTGAGATTAACCAGTGCTGAGAGCAGTTTAGCCAGCCGGCTAAGATGGCCCATTGGGCACCGTGCTGGGTGGGATGGGAGGTGGGCCAGTGGTGGGCTCCTCTGAGCTCCCCAAACCCAACCCACCCCTGGCTTTTTAGACAGTTACATCCCATCGGCCCAGCAAGGGCAGCAGGGCAGGGTGTTTTAGGCCAAGAAGAGTCAGTGGGTGGAGGGGTGCAAACTGGAGCTCAGGCACTCATGCACGGCTCTCATGCACGGCTTCTCATGCACGGCTGACCCAGTGACGCCAGTCAGCTAAGCTCCCTGATCGAGTGCCCTCCGATCTACCCCCAGGACCCCCGACAACTACGAAGGGCTGACCTGGAGCGTCCCCGTCTGGATGGCATCCCTGGAAAAGGCTGGAGTGTTTCTAAAGAGGCTGTTCAGACATCACATCACAGTCCCAGACGGCCGAGAGGTTCTTGCACTCACTTGGCCGCCCTCCCTGGGAAATGCTTTGGATCAGACAGCATCTCTGGGTTGTTTTTGCCTGAGGAAAGTGGTAAGAATTCAGCAAGAATCCTATGGTTGGAGGAAAAGTCAGTGGATTTACTTAATACAAGTATTTGGAAAGGACCATCCAGGGGTGTGAGGGGCAGTGTGACAGGGCGGGACTGAAGACAGCAGTGTGGACGAGAAGGTCTGCAGATGAGGGGAACTTGAGGCAAAGAGAGAGGAATTTAAAGACAAATGGGTTGGCATCTGGAGGAGATAGAAAGGGTTTTTTAGGGTCTAAGAAGTTCAAAGTAGCTGTGCTAGGTTGCCCCTGCAAGCACCCGTCAACAGTCTGGTGCCGGAGAGGTCTCCCCGAGGATCTACTGGTCCTTCAGCCCCTCCGCCAATTAGCAGATACTTCCTGAGGGCCGCTGAGCCTGGATGCTGAGGCTGGGAGGGTCTCCTTGGCCTCAGAGCTTTGGTGGGCAAGCCAGTGATGGTGCCCTGGGGTGGAAAAGCAAGGAAAGAGGGTGAACAGAGAGTGTGCAGTGGGAGGGAAGCAACAGCAGAAGCCTGAGCTGAGTCTTCAAGGAAGAGCCGGGAGTCAGCCAGGCATCCCAGGAGGAAGGACAGCTAATCCAGGCAGAGGGCACGGGCTGTGCACACGCCGGGAGAGGAAGCATGCCCCCTCCCTAACCCCAGGGACAGCTGGGACAATGACTGCGAAGGAGCCGGTGCCCAAAGAGGGAGAGGCCAGCCCCGCATTCTTTGCTTTTGACTCTCATGATTTTCTAACAGCCGGGCGAACGCGGGCTGTGAAAACCTCTTGGCAGGAGGGCCTCGGGTGAGTTGAGTTCCATCCATTCTGGCGCATTAATTCAAGGTCTGGCCCCTGGCTTTGGTGCTGGGGTGAGCCCCTCGGAGACTGTCTATAGGCTGCCCTCTCCTTTCATACCTAACGCTTTCCTGAAAATACACTGGTCTGACATGCAAGACGCAAGTAGCCGGCTTGCACGGTCTAAGGGAAGGTTCTGTTCCCAGGAACCTGAACCATATTATCACTATATTTTCTGGGTTTCCAGTCTCATGGCATCTCCCTTACCCCAGCCCTGGAAAATCTGCCCTTTAAATCAATGCAGCTTTAGAATTGAAGAAATATGGTAAATCGCTCATCATACTCCACCTTTAGATTGAATCTTTGACCGTGCATGTCCAGGATTTCATATATACACTCTAGTTGTATGCTTTCCCTTTACAATTGAACACACAGTTGACTGGCTTACATCCAGTGAGCACTTGATGGAGGCTAAATATTCCCCATGTTCGGCATGCCTAATGGTTTCCATCTTTGTCTCAATTATATTCAGTTTATGAGACCTGCCCTTCTTATCACTATCATCAGCACTTCATTTTCCTGTTTTCCACTCATTCGTATAAAATAATAAGGTCAAAATGCAATAAACTATTCAAATACTTGCACACACGCTGCTGAATGGTCAAAAAGTGACACTGCGGAAACTGAACTCTTGGCCACCAGGCTGCCTTCTCCTGCGATGGCTTGAAACCTTAGTTCATCCGACAACCTGGGACAGCTTGAAACCAGCGGTTGGTTCAAGGGGGTGGCAATGGGAGGGGTGGTATAGGTCAATGTAGAATGTGTAAAAAAAGAGGGCTGTGCTAAAGTCAAAGGTATAAGCTGAGGGTCATCTAGAATGATCCCACCCTCTGAAGCTCGATTGGATATAAATCCTGCCACCTCTCGTCTAAATGGGCAGGCACTGCTTTGCAATGAGGCTGGTGATGGCCTTTCTCCAAGCAGTTCATATAGCGTCACAGACAGGCTCTGGTAAACCTTCCCACCTCTCTAGTCTGCAGGTGTGTGAGAGGAGGGGGGTTTGTAGGGACCCCTATCCAATTTTACAGCTGGGGAGATTGTGCACACTCATCACAGGGAAGAGTCAAGTTCTAGGGAATACTTTTTCATACAACTCTTGGGAGGCTGATCTGCTGGCAGCGGGGCTGGGGGGCTGCTATCACCTCCAGAGATAGGGGGCTTACTGGCCAACAGAGTGGTGAAAGGACACTTAGTGTTGCTTGAAGAAATTCCTCAGGAGACTGAAGAGTGCCTGGAAACAGACACCCAGGATTTCTCTGCCACTTAGCAACCCTGGCAGCAGAACATGACTTATGACTTATGTCTCTAGGCTCGTTCGTAGCTAGTGTGGTCCTTGCAAAGTCAGCAGTTCCAGGAGGTCTACTGAGAAGCGACTCTTAAGTCTCTCCTCAAAGCTGCCTGAATACCAAAGAATCTTTCCTCAAAGCTTCTTATTCTTGAGACAGAATAATTTATTCAGAAAGGATTTTATGAGGAAACAGTACATGAAAACCTGGTCTTGGGTCCACGACTACTAACTAGCATCTTAGAGCGGAAAGAGCCCAATCCTGGCCGTCCAGGCTTGCCTCTGCCTTGTCTCTCTCAGTGGCCCTGGGCAAGTGCCCTCATTTGCAAAATAAAAGGGCTGGTCTGTCTGAGCGCTGGGCTCAAACACTCAGAGTATTGGTGAAGTGAGACAACATGTAACATGTGAAAATTACAAAGCATCATGGTATAAAATGTATATATATCTCAGGAAATATTTATGGTCTTCACAGCTGAGAAATGTGGCCAAGGCAACGTGAGCCCGACCCTGAGATTCATAACAAACCATGAGAGAGGACTGAGGGGCTCCCAATCAGGCCTGTGAAAGCCACAACAGAACTATAAAGCCCTTTGCTTCGGAATCGAATCCTTCCCATCCAGTTCCTTCTCCTTCACCCACCTCACAAGTTGGGATACAAAAACCTTTTGATTTAACTTAAGGCTAAGCACACTTTTCAGAATTGCTAAGGCCCACATTTTGTGTTTTGCTTGAAGTTTCCAAGATCTGTTCTGAAAAGCAGTGTTTTCCCTACTTTTAAAGAAGAAAATGGGAAAGAGGGGTAGGTTTTGTCATTGTCTTTTGGCAAACCTCCCCAGTGTGCAAGAACTCCTCCTCCTTCTCATCAGGTAAACACACACCTGAGCTGGGGAGGAAAGCTACCTGGTAGTCTGCAGGGGAATGCCAGCAAGACGGGAGGGGCGGGGGGTGGGGTGGGGCAGGGCCAGCTCTCCAGCAGGCTGAGAGCCTACTTTTGTTTGAACCCCATCCCAGCCTTCGCTACCTACTCTTGGGAGGGAGGGGCCACACCACAGAGGGTGTGATTTCCCTGAGGGGTATTCCTAAAAGCTCAGACGAAGCGGGGGCACCTTGAGGCCCTGAAAGCTGTGGGTGCTAGGGCTCTGAACTTGAAGGAAGAAAGGATCCTCCCCGCCTCCACCCTGTTGGGGTTGGTTTGCGCTGGAATGCCACGCTTTTCAAAGTGTCTGAGCGATCGGCACTTTCTAAATATGTACAGCGATGGAGTGATAAGAAACCCAGCGTCTGGCTAGGCGAGTTCGCGGTCCCCTGGCAGCCCGGGGCTCTGGCTGGGCCAGCCCCCACCCCGGTGCTCGGCTGCAAACCTCAGTCCCTCCTCCCGGGCCTGCTTTGGAAACGATTATGCTCACTCCCAGGGTCCCCAAGTTCCAAGCTTTACGCCTGGGACTGGGGGGTGGGGGAAGGCGACGAGGACCCCCTACTTCTTCCTCTGCACCCACCCCCACGACTCAGCCCGGGTGACCCAAATGGGTGAGTCAACTTGGCGAAACAGGAGCGTCCCCAACGGGGCAGCCGCCCCCAGCCCCTTTCACCCCTCGCTCGGCCCCACAATGCGCCCTTGTGCCGCGCCCGCAGCCAGGCCCGGGGATTTGGCGCAAGGATGGGGGGAATAGCCGTCCGATATTTAAAACAGAGCCGAGGGAACAAAGCAGGCCTTTGTGCACCGAGGCAGCCGGGAGCGGGGAGCCGCGGGCGGGCTTGCGGAGGGCTGCCCGGGCGCATGCGCGCGGCGGGCCGGGCCGCGCTCGGGTTACCAAGCGTTTTCCACCCCGGCTCCGCCGGACCTTCGTTAACCCCTTCCTGGGCCGCTCCCCGGGGCAGGCGGCAAGAGAGGCTGGCTTTCATCTGCTGGCCGTTACACGTTTAATTGAAAAAAGAAATAGTCATGTTCCATGTTTCTATAGGAAGCACAGATCATTAAAATAAAATGATATACCAATTGGGAACCCAGATTTTAAATGACCGGGATTTAATGGGACACTTGGGCGGTGTAAAAATCGAGGCATTTCGAAAAGACGCCTTCTTCGGACGCTGGTGAAGCCTTTTTAAAGGGCTAGTTTCTTCTGTTTTGTGTCTGGTGGGTGACTGGCCGTTTTACTTTCCTGGTTACTGTCATTTGGGATTTGAAAGGTATATTGGTTATTGTCAAGGCCCTCACTTTTGTTTGGGTTTGTGGGTTGGACGATGTTTATTTATTTATTTAAAATAACTAAATAGAAGTGGAGTGTGCATGGTACAAAGATAAGACAGGGTCATGAAACCAAGGAATAAAATTCATCCAATCTATGCACTAGAGTTTCTAAGAGAGAGAAAGATGGTAGTTATGGAACATTTTGTTGTCTGAGGGGAAGATATTGAAGGGATCTCTCAAGTGGGATAGATTAGGAGTGACTTTGGTGGGGGAGGGGATGTGCAAAGTGCCCCACCCTGCTTTATCCTGGCAGTGATTGCCCTCCCCCCCCATATGTAATGAAGGCGCGACAGGCAGAGGCTGGGGGACACACCTCTGAGGACATACCTCTGAGAAGTTTATGATTCTTTTTCTTTCGTGGCTCAGTTACCAGGTGGTCATGAGAAAGCAGAGATTTCTAGGTGAGGTCATCTTGGCAACAAGTTTCCTCACCACCCTTGACCTCCAGATCTCCAGGGCTACCACTGCTGGGATGTCACTGGCAGCAGATCATGTCCGTTAAAGGACACACTGCAGCAAGGACAGATAAACAATTTTGCGGCAACAGTCACGTAGCAAACTCATTCTCAAATGAAGCTGGTTGGTTAGGATGATGTAAGTGGGTTTTTTCCACTCTCTTCCACATTCTGGGCCTAGGATATAGTCTAAGAATATGTCTTGGGATGTGAGGTAAGAGAATAGTGGTGGGAGGGACTTGGAGAAGTATCTTCTAGACACAAGGACAAAGTCTCTTTCCTCTCGACTTCCTTAGCCCATAGCTCATTTCCTCTCCCTCTCCCAGCCCAGTAACGGAATGTTATCTTTATATAAAGGACGTTGTGGTAGACAGTTTCCAACAGGTTCCAAAATGGCAGCCCTCAGTCATTCCCTCCTAGTGTTTGTGCGCTGCTTCTTACCTCTTGAATCTGGGCTGGCCGTAGAGACTTGCTCGACTGACAGAATATGACGGGGGCGACATTCTAGAACTGTTAAGGCTTGGTTATGAGAAGACTTGTGATATCTGTCTGCATCTCTTAGAACCTTCACCCCTAGGACACTCGCTCTAGAAACCAGCCACCATCCTGTAAGAAGTCCAAGCCACACAGAAAGGCTAGAAATAGGTGTTCTTGTCTAGAATCCTAGCTACGCTCTCCCCAACATTCACATCACTGCCAGATTTGTGAATGAGTGATATCCGCTCGGCTGTCCAGCTCAGTAGAGCCCTCAGATGACTCCAGCAGGGGCCACATTTGACTCTAGCTGCAAGAGATCCTGAGTGAGAACCAACTAGCGGAGCCCCGGCAGCAGAGGTGTAAGAGACAGCAATAAACTGTTTTAAGCCACTAAATTTAGAGGGTGGTCTATTATGTAGAAATAGATAATTGAATGGGAAAAGCTGGGTGGAGGGTGGGTGAAGAGAAGAGAGGAACTCATGATCGCTCAGTCACTTTGAGGGGTGCTATTTCTCAGTCTTTTCTGTCTCCCCACTGGCACCCCTCCTTTCTGAGCTATGCGTGGCACACAACACACAGACCTTATACTGTTACTAATTGTCTCCTCAAGGCGATGACATCCCGAGGGTAAGATCTTCTTAGAGTCCTACCTTCCCCAGCACTAGCAGATTTATCAAGCTGTTCTACTTAACCTGGAGAATCACAGCTGGAACAGCCTCTCAAGGTGCTTCAGTGGCTTGACTTCTGATTTTTGATGTTTGATAGCTGATGTCTTATATCATGGCTACCTGGGCCCACCTGGAAGCCATCCACACCATGGGGGAGTCTGAACCCCACCAACACGGTGGTCACTCAAGGGCAGGAGCTCAAGTTCAAGGGTGCAGTTGAAAAATCTCCTGCTTACATTTGTCCCTCTGGAGGCTTTGGAACCAGGGAGTGGACATACATGGTAGTCCTGGAAGGCAAAGGGAGGCTACAACTATGTGGATGAGAGAAAACTCCACAAGGGTGCGAGCCCTCAGGACTCATTAGTGGGGATCCCACGTATTCAAGGCCTCCCCATGCTCACCTGTGGACAGGTGTGTTTAAGCTGCGCCAGGGTCAGTGGTGGAGATGCAGGCAGCTCGTGTAGAACCTGGTGTCCACTCAGGGATCCTGCTGAGCCCAGTGCACACTCAGAGCTTGGGAGAGACGGAGGAGAAAGGCCGAGCAAGGGCAGCAAGGAGGCATTCCTTCATCCTTTCAATAAACATTCTTCTGTGAGCCTGGCCTAGCTTCAGGCACCGGGATGCCGT